CTTCCTACAAAAGAACAAGATATACAGAAAAGATCTTTGTGGTTGAGACAACATATAATGCAGAATCATAAAGACACTTGGCTGCTTTTGATAGTTGGTTCCACAGGTACCTTTTCCGTGCTATCGGAATTCACATGCTTATCACATCTCACGCCTCGAAAATACAGCTCCCCACCAGAAAACTGTTTACCCAAGCAGACATTCAAACTAACCTCAGAGTCATCCACATGGAACCCTAAAATCAAGAAGCAAGTTTTTAGATGTGTTCCACAAGTCCAAAATTAACTACCAAGAAAGAGACCATTCACAGTACTTACCAAGATCAACATCCCTATCTTTTCCATATTCAACAATATAGCCATGGTGAGAATCTAAAGAGGATCCACAGACTTCCGGGAACAGAACTGACACAAGATTTGAACTAAGCCCATCAGCAAATATATCACAAAAAACAAACTTGCAACAATAACCAAAATCTACAAAAACACATTTAGAATCTTAACCTTGAGCTATAGGACTAATAAAGTCATCAACCAACTTCTGAAGCATGTTATCAAAGCCAAAATCATCAAGGACAACACCAAAATTGTTCATCGTATTAGGTCTCATTATTGTAGATCTTGAATCATAAACCCATTTCTCCATATGTTCAACCTGAGAAATCAGTCAAGAATTTGATGAGAAGACAGAGAACAACAACCTTAGCTCTGTCCAAACAAACAAAAAACGATAACTTTAAGCCAATTCATACCTCTGCAAGTAACATTTCACAAAACCGTGGTTTAAACATTTCAAAAGTGAAAATCCCAGGATAAGATTCAACCATGATATTTCTGAAATTCGGCTCTGACTTCCCACTAAAAGCTCTAAGAAACGATGGAGTAAAGAAACTAGTAGGGTCAAGAGTATAGATCTCTCCATGCTTACGCTGCAAAATCAGTTCAACAACAAGCAAAAAAGATTCAAATAACCAATTCAAGATTAAGACTTGTTAACCTAATCCGACAAAGAAGATTACTTGGTAAGAAGACATGATTTTGTCCCTGTATTCTTTATGCCTCAGAGTCTGCAAATGAGACACAAATTCAAGCTCAAATCACAGAAATGTAAGCTCAAACTATGAAAAATTAGTAAAAGGAAGAAACTTTACCCGAACTCGCTCAGTATCAGGGGAATATCGGAGAAGAAGGTCTCTCATGAAACTAGCTTTATCGATTCGTGTGGAATTGAGAAGCTGCTCAGGTAAGTAACGCTCAAGAGAGCTAAACAGAGAAGGACTATAGTCCAAAGGTAGATCTTCATAGTTCTCAGGCTCATGTTCTTCATTTGGGGTTCTCCGAAGTTTCAATCTTGCTTCGCCGTTTCCAGAGGACCCTCGCGGTTGTTGTTGCTGCTCAGGTTGTTTTCCGGAAGAATCGAGAGCCATAGATCTAAGAGGAGTTTGATTGCACATTCAGGTTAAAGAAAGCGATACGCATTCTAGGGTTTAGGTTTTTTTTTTGGATGAGTGAAAGAAGATGATGATGGTTTGCTTGAGAGGTTAGGGTTTCGGATTTTTTTTTATCGAACCTCCTCAAGGTAAAAAAAAAAAAAACCAATGTGGACAATTACTGATATAGTTTTTTTATTTGTTCCTACCATTTTTAGAAACGTTGATTTTATTTTTTTTGTTGATCATTACATCAAGTAACTTTAAAAAACCAAAAATAGTAAATTACTAATAGAGTCTGTATTTTCGTTTTATATCATATAAATAGAAATAGTGACGGATGATTTTTGTACAAAATGATGCAGTGGAAATGAAATGCGACAGAGGCAATGCTTACAAAAGAGAGAGAAGTAAATTTAGTGATTACCTAAAACATGCTAAGAGTCTTGTGAGAAACAGAGCTTTGTACTTTTGGCTTTTCTTTCCAAAAATGAAATTATATGTTTTTCAACATTTTTCTCTATTCCCAAAAAATGGTCCAAAGAATTAAACAATACACAGGAAATCTTCTTCACTGAGTGTGAACTTCCTTTGCAAACACCAATTTATGTGTTGGTCATCTTTATTCCTATTCTCTTTGCCTCTGCTGTTGTGTAAGAATGAGTTATAAGCTTAAAGCAATGAGCTTTCAACAACATTGGATTGATTCTGGCCATAGCTCAGAGTATGTTATCCCCTGGCAGAAGGATAGCTATAGATGCATTACAATCTACAATCACAGATGATGCAGAAGCCTTTGTGAAAGCTGAGAGAAGAGTTTCTACGTACCAATTAAGCTGAGCCATCAACTAGATTGTGCATTGTAGTCATAAAATTTTGACCATATGCACTCAGGGACGGAACCGGCCAGCTCCAAGAAAAAATATAATCATTTCAAGTCACCAACTTTGCTTCCTCGTCAACTGAGTAATAGCTTTTCGAGGAACTCAACCTCTCGTGACTCGTGGTCTTTCTCCAAATGTTTGAACAAGGCTCTATGTGTGTAACCATCTGGCTCAATCTCTTTATCTAGCATCTCTTTATACAATTTAACAACCTCTTCCCATTTATCGAGATCACAGTGCTTGCTTATAAGAATAGTGTAGCTATATTTATTTGGTGAAATCCCCTCTTCTTCCATCTTGCACAAGTATCTGTAAGCTTCATCTATATTACCAGCTTTGCACATGCCATGTAAAAGAGCATTGTGCGTCATGACATTTGGACGAACGCCTCTCTTTTTCATCTCGGTGGAATACTGAAAGGCTTGTTCTAGCCTTCCTGCTTTCGCATGACCATGAATCAACACAAAGTAGGTAATCACAGAGGGAGATAACCTTTTACTCAGCATTTCATCATACAAGTCTCTGGCCATCTTAAACCGGCCCTTCTCCAAATAACCGCGAATAACCGTGGTGTAAGTAACATGATCTGGGACAAGACCAACTCTAAAAATCTTGCGCTGAAACTCAATCGCTTTTTCCAGATTCCCAACCTTGCAGAGTCCATCTATACGAACGTTATAGATGGTCAGATCTGGAGCATGATGATCCTCTGCCACCATCTCTTCGTGCAGACGAAATGCTTTTTCTGAATCTCCAAGCCGCAATTCACCCACAGTCCTTGTAGTGTATGCATATCCATCAGGTTTAATTCCTTTCCTCAGCATCTCATCATAAATTTCAGTAGCCATGGAAAGATTCCCATTCTTAACAAATCCTTTTAAAAGAGTCGTGTACGTAATCACATCAGGATATATCAGTTGGCTGGTCATCTCTTCTTTTAACCGCTGAGCACCTTCCAAGTTCCCTGACTCACAAAGACCATCTATTAGAGTATTATAGGTGACAATACTGGGATTGATATTCCCAGCTTTCAAGTCATCAAACAAGAGAGAAGCCTCTACAAACTTCCGCATCTTGATGTATCCATGCATTAGAGTGTTATAAGACACAACATCAGGAGCAGCCATACTAGATAACAGCTCTCTGGCATCATCTATTCTTCCAAACTCGCAGAGAGCACGTATATAAATATTATACGTGGATGTGGTTGGATAAATACCCGCATTGAGCATCTCGTCTGTAACTCCCCAAGCTTCATCAAACAAACCTTGTTTGCAATACCCTTCAATCAACGGATTAAACGAGTAAGGTGTAACAGGGAACCCAGATCTTTGCATATCTCCATGAAACCGCCTAGCTTCCTCCATTTTACCACTCTTGGAAAACCCATTGATTAGTATATTGTAAGTCACCTCACTAAATTCAATATTTCTTCTCTTCATCTCTAACCAAATCTTGTCGACTCGCTCCAAATCACCAGCCTTGAAACAAGAATCCAACATAGTATTAAACGTGATAACCGTCGGCATAATACCATGCATAACCATCGTCTCATAGACCTCTTGGGCCTTATTCATCATCCTTGAATCCCTAAGAACCCTCAAAACTATGTTACAATTTCTAACACTAGGTAAAAACCCTTTCCTAATCATCTTCTCAAAACTCAACAAACACTTCTCCGCCATAGATTTCTTAGTGTAAACCCACAACAACAGATCTAAAAGCTTGAGAGCAACCAACTTATCAAAGTTCCCATCAATCAAAAGATCATCAATTTCGTGCATACCAAGATTGATACTCCTCTCAGCAACCAAATAAGCTTCACTCATCAAATCATTCTCAGCTAAAATCTCCAACATCGCAGCAAAAGCTTGCCGTGACTGCTTCACATCGCTCTGCCTTTGTATCCAATTGAAAAACCGAAAAGCGATTTCGGGCTTTACCCGAATCATATTAAGGACTCTAATAAGCAAATCTGGATCAGTCAAGAGGAGACGAAACTGATGAGAAGACCACTTCCGATTAGGTTGATTATCTCCGTGAGAGCTCAAAATGAGATTAGCGTAATAAGACTCGAGATTGGAGGAGGAAGAAGACGACGCAGCGCAATGAGGAAGAGTAGAGAATCGAAAGAGGAAGCGTGAGAGGTTATTGTTGTTGTTGTTGGTAGTAGAAATAGAGAAGAAAGATCTCGAAGCTCTGAGACAGAGACGGAGACATAGGATCATTGAGGAAACAGAGAGGAACACATAGGAACCAAAGCTTTGAATTGATCAAGACTTGAAGAGAATCGATTTCCAAGGATCCGAGAAGAGAAGGAGGAGCGGCCATTAATTCTCCACGAAGCCTTGTGTTGCCATCTCTCCCTCCCGTGCGTCGGCGATCAAACATCTCCCGGCGCTTAAACAAAATAAGGGTTTATCTCAATTTTCTCTTAACCGGACCGGTTCAATCTCCCTTCCGGTTTGGTTTTTATCTTTAACCGTAAAATCCACGGTTTTAAAACCGTTAAATTCGGTTCTCTGTGCAACTTTCCTCTCTGAAGTCAAAATTAAAACCAACCGGAAACCACGACCCAGAAATGCAACCGGTTTACCATTTCGATTTGGTTTTGGAAAACATTCTCATGTGATATTTACCTACTTAGTTGCTACATTCACATGATCATGTGATTCATGTCTAAAGAATGTTCGAAATCTATTCTCAATATCTGATTTCGAGATGACGAAAACAAAATCTAAGTACCATATCTATAACGTATGCAACACATTGAACATTACATGAATGCTAAAGGCACAAGCCACTTACCGACAGAAACAAACCAAAAAAAATCTCAATTGCAAAATCCAAACTCTTTCTAATTGCCAAGAGTAACATTCTGCATTTCAACTACTAGCTCTGCTTCACATCTTTTATCCAATTCAGTTTCCATGTGTTTCAACGAGTTTCGCAGCTTTTCGCAAGCTCCCGAACAGCCGTCTGAAGAACTCTTCAAACGCTCAACTTCAGTTTCAAATTCGTTGAGATTCCCCTGTATTATCTTTACCGTTTGTTTCATCTTGTTCATCTCTTGCGGTGGATAGACGCAAGCTCCAAGCTCATCGATTTGTACACCGGTTCCTTGACACAGCTTCAGTAGCTTCTCAAGTGACTCCACAAACCCGCTATTATCATTTGGGTTCTCCATCTTAATCATCCCAGTGATAACTCGAATGAGTTCTTTTATCACCATGATTGTCTCAGACACAATCTCAGCAACCATCCTAGCAACTTCCATTTCTTCAGGAGACAAATCATCACCTAAATCGTCATCATCATCACCCGACATATTATCACCAGATGCCTCACATTCAGCTGAATGACAAGCTGGCTTCACCTCTTTCATCTCCCTAAGAACATCCTTCATGGAAACCGCAACCTGTGTAATAGCCCTACCAATCGCAACAATGTTTGTTGCAGGAACCTTCTTGAAACTGGAACATGCCTCCCAAACCACTCCCGAAAGCTGCGGAATAGAAGGCTTCTTATCCTTCTCATATGATCCCTCTAGTTCACAGATACAAAAACAAAACCATCCACAATTAAGCACTCACTAGAAGTAGCATCTTGAAAGCAAATCAAACTGTGCCATAATAGGAGAAAGTATAAAACTTTCAATCATTACCGTATAAGGAGACAGAACCCTGCAACAATCTAAAGCTGGAATCAACGATTTGCTTAACAGAAACATGTATGATTGAGGAAAGTGTAGGTCCAGCACCAACTGTGCTTCCATGGCAACAGAGCAAAAACCCTTGAAGAGCATTGAAGTAAGACTCCATTGTCTCTTTAAGTGATTCAGCTTTAGGAGATTCTCCAGTCCATAGCATTCCCACTATTAAGAGTAACCCCAAGCACAAATTGAGAACAAGAAATCACAAAAAGGAATCAAGAAACTATAACAGTGAAAGCAAGTTTTAAAAACCTATGGTGGCTTGTTTAGAGAGGTGATCAGACATCTGGAGAACATCGTTCCAATTAACTTTCTCCACTGTAGGAGAAGCTGTTCGATCGAACAACTGCAAAATTGTAGCATAATCTGTCTGATTACGAATCTAATTGTGTGAAACGAACAAAAATCGGTAAGAAGAAAATTTTACCTGTAGAGTATCGTAGATGGTGTTAAGACGAGGAATTAGAAATTGATTTAGATCTTCTTTCTTTGATTTCACCATTTTTGTCTTCCTTCAAACTCTTTGACGTCTCTAGTAGCTAGTGCTAAGCTTAAGGGTTTTGTCGAAGCTAAAGCTTTGCTACGGTTCGTAACGACGCCGTTTTCACGACATAGGACACTGACACTTGTTATTATTTACAGGAAAGCCCTTCAAGAGTTTTGTTTTTCAAGCTTAAAAAAAAAACTTCAACAAGTCTCTTGTTAAGTATTTGACTATTAATCGATCCCAACATTGCATAGGAAAGTTTAAGAAAGATCAGAGACTATGAACTTGGTAACCTTTATAGAAGCAGAGTCAGGTTTAACAAGAAACGCTCATGAACATACAGTCTCAAAGAAAGATCAAAGATTATGAGCTTGGAAAAGATGAAGCAGTCTTTAACTTATAAGAGACATTATTATGTTTCTCCTGTAAATGCAGAGGAAACCGAACATTGAACAAAGTGAGAAATAGCAGTGCAGAGAAAAAAAAAAGCATACTGTGAATGGATCAACCTATGGTTGCTTGTTTAGAGAGGTAATTAGACATCTAAGAACATCGTTCCAATTAACTTTTTCGTCTGTAGGAGACGCTGTTGGATCGAACAACTGCAAAAAGTTTTGACATAATCCTTGTCTAATTCATCACGAGAAAACATGAAACAAACAAAAATAGGTAAGAAGAAACATACCTGAAGAGTATTGTAGATAGTCTTTTGATGAGAAATCAGAATTTGATTCAGATGCTTTCTTTTGTCCAATTCAACTTCCATGAGTTTGATCGCGTCTCGCAGCTTTCTGCAAACTCCCGGGAAAGCGTTGGAAGACCTCTTCATATGCTCAACTTGAGCCTTAACTTCATCAAGGTTTCCCTCTAGTACCTTCACCGTTTGAATCATCTTGTCTATCTTCAGCGGTGGATGATAAACGCAAGTTCCAAGCTCTTCTATCAGTACTCCAGTTCTTTGACACAGCTTTAGTAGCTTCTCTAGCGAGTCCACAAACCCGCTATTTTCCTTTGGATGTTCCTCCTCCATTGTCCTGGTGATTACTCGAATGACTATTATCACCATCATCGCCTCAGACGCAATGTCAGCCACCATTTTAGCAACTTCTATTTGCTTAGGAGAAAAATCATCACCAGATGCCTCACACTCACTCAAAGGACAAGCTGGCTTCACTTTTTTCATCTCATTAAGAACATCCTTTATGATAACAGCAACCTGCGAAATAGCATTGCCAATCGCGACAAGGTTTGTTATAGGCATCTTCTTGAAACTAAAGCATGCCTCCGAAACTGCTCCTGAAAGCTGCGGAATAGACGGCTTTTTGCCTTTTTCATATGATCCCTCTGGAAAAATCATCCACAGTTAAGCACTCACTAGAAGTATGTTGAAAGCAAATCAAACTGTGGCTACACTATCCTTTAACAAGACAAGTACTTCAATAGATGTTACATTGAGAGTTTGTTGAGATATGTGACAAAAGTATAAAACTTTCAAAAATTACCGTAAAGGGAGACAGAACCCTGAAACAATCTGAAGCTGGAATCAACGATTTGCTTAACAGAACCGTGGATGATTGAAGACAGAGTAGGTCCAGCACCAAGAGTGCTTCCATGGAAACAGAGCAAAAACCCATGAAGAGCATTGAAGTAAGACTCCATTGTCTCCGTAAGTGATTCAGCTTTTGGAGATTCTCCAGTCCATAGCATTCTCACTGTTTAGAGTAATAAGCACGCAGAAATTGAGAAGAAGAAATCACAAAAAAACGAATCGAGAAATTGTAACAAGTGAAACAAATTTTTGAAAACCTATGGTGGCTTGTGTAGAGAGGTAATCAGAAATATGAAGAACATAGTTCCAGTGAACTTTTTCTACTGTAGGAGACGCTGTTGGATACAACTGCAAAAAAAAATTAGCATAATCTTTGTCTAATCAGTAATCACGATCCTAATTCATTGCCAAAAACATGAAACAAACATGGTAAGAGGGAAGAATACCTGGAGAGTATCGACGATGTTGCTAGGATGAGTAATCATAGATTGATTTAGATCCTTCTTCTTTGATCTCTCCATTTTCGTCCTCTTTGATTTCCCCATTTTTGTCTTCCTTTGAAACTCTTAACGCTTCTGCTAAGCTAAGGGTTTTGCTCTGCATGAAGCTTTGCTGCTATACCCTATACGATGTCGTTTTGTCACTTACAAGACTAGTGTTATTTATTGAAAATCCCTTGGAGAATTTGACTTTTCAAATTTGAAAAAAAAACTTCTTTGTTTAAGTATTAAACCGATCCAAACATTGCGTAGGAGTTGTTGAGAGCTTTAGCAAGGAAACGATATAAGGAAAAAATTAAAAATAAAAAACTCAATTTAAAGAACCAGATTGTGAAAAAGGAAGGTTTTTGATAGGAATTATGAGAATTCAATTCTAGTAAAGTTGTTTTTATATGGTTTTGTTCAAAAATATGTGATGATTCAAATAGCCAGATCAGTCTGTTTTGATGATCTTGTGAACTAGCTTTAGGCTTAATGTGGTTGCACACAGCTTCGGTCTAATTCAAAGTTTTGACAAAGCTGGTCCTACTAAGGTCCAGCTCAAAAGTTAACCAGATCTTTTCATAACCTTTAAAGAAATTAGTTCTTGCCCCACCCGAAATAATGGTCGACCAGTCGGTAACATCCCTAGCTAAAAGGCTAAAACTGTATCAATTCTTTCTAGTCGGTGAAGAATGACAACAAGACGAGCAAAGTCAGGTTTAACTAAAAACGCTCATGAACACATGGAAGCAGCAGCTAACAGAGTCAGCATAAGTAAAAAAGAGCTCAGGACCTGAGCCAAATTGCAAGAGGATCTTTAACCTGTAACAGAGAAACTGAGATTGAACCAAGAAATAGCCAATTTTTGTAAAACAATTAAGGTAACAAAAAAATATGGAAATTTGAAGCAATAGTTAATTCCCAATATACAATTTTTGAAAAAAGCAAGAATCTGGGAATGAAAAATTAGAGCTTTAGAATTCAAACATGTACAAGAGATGTTCAAGTTAAAAGCAAGATGATCAATTTACAAAGACGATAAACAAAGTAACCTTGCAAGTTAGTTAAAACCAAGAAAATCAAACATCTTCACCAGAAGCTGCAGAAGCACCACCAGCATCAGAATCTTGCTTCACCACCGGAGAATCAACATCAGGACGGCGAAAATTAGTCGGAGCATCAGGTCCAATAAGCTGAATCGCAGCGTTATCATAAGCAAGAGCAGCTTCTTCAGCTGTTTCAAAAGTCCCAAGCCAAACACGTTCAGGTCTTCCTTTACCACCGCCGTGAGCTCGACCACATCTAATCTCAGCCGCCCACTTCCCCCATGGTCTCTGCCTCACGCCACGGAACTTCTTCTTATTCGTTGTAGTCTTCGGAGCAAGAAACCTCGCTGGAATCCTGATTTTAAACCGAGTTTTTCCGACCTCCGGGGGATCAGAAGGATCGATGACGATTTCCTTGACTAGCTTCTTACCTCGACGGCGTGACGGCGGTGATTCGTCTTCGCTGCTTGAAGAATCGGTTGCTTCCGTGTCTGTGAATGAAATTCGAACAATTCGTTTCATCTTCGCCGGGGAATTTGACGACGGAGAGGGTTGGTGGGTTGGTGGTTAGGGTTTGTGTCCGCCTCTTAAAAAAGAAGGATTTGTTTGTTAAATATTCGATCAGAAGGCTTTGGCTTGTGCGTTACTTAATCCTAATTAACCGACTTACTGTTTCTCTTATCTTTATAATCCGTGTCTGATTATGAGTGTTGATCAATCTCATTAAGTCGGTTTTTGAAATTTTGAATTCAAATTGATGACAAAAAAATTTGGAAAAATCTATTTTTGGAATTAAAAAATATTATTCAGATGGTTACAAAATTAAAAAGTAAAATCATGAAGAAAAAATAGAGATTTTGAAATTGGAAAATTCCCAAAAAAAAAACCCCCAACTATTTAATATTTGCCAGAAAAAAACCTGAATTTTTTTCGTTGTCAGAAAAAAAAACCTCAAACTAATTTACCGTTGACAAAACAAACACAAAATATTTTTTTCTTCCAATTTCCTCGTCTCCGTTACGACCGTTAACGCCGTCGTAGACGCCGTTACTATTTTTGGAAAAAATTCCTTAAAAAACCTGTTATTTAATTTTGTCAGAAAAATACCTGAATTATTTTTTTGTTGCTAGAAAAATACGCATATCAACATTTTCCTCCTCTTCTTTTATTTCATTAACAATGTAAGGTAGTTGGACCTCATAACTTTATGTGTTCTCTTCAACCTCATACAGGTTCTTACTACTATTAGATTAATCGGTTTTTCAATTTTCCAATTAGAACAAAACTCACAGTTACATTTGTTGATTCTCCAATTTTCTAACTAGAACCAAAAAACACAATTAGATTAGTCTTTTTTTTTAGCGTTGAGTTAGTTTGATTAAGCTAGCTTGAGCTTCAATTTTGGTGGATTTTGCTTGATTTGAATATTTTTTTTTCGATTATGTAGAGAATTTTGAAGATCTACTAAAGTTTTTGGGGCTCTTATGAAATTTAGAGTTTCATTGTTGATGATGTCCCAAAATTTGTAAAGTCTGAATAGATACGTAACAAATCTAATTGAAATTTTTTTAAAAATCGACTAATCTAATTGTATATTTTTGTTCTTAAATTTAATTGTCCTAAATAATAGTGAAAACTGAAAATTTGTATGAGGTTCAAGAGAACAAATAAAGTTATTAGCTTTCACCACCTTACATTGTTTATGGAAGACAAAAAGAGAAGAAAAATGTTGATCTATATATTTTTCTGGCAATGAACAAATATATTCGGGTAGTTTTTTGGCAAAATTAAATAACTTAGGTTTTTCCAAGAATTTTTCCAAAAAATAGTAACGGGGACAGAGTTAACGCCCGTAACGAAGACGAGAGAAAATTGAAAAAAAAATTGTTCGTGTTTGTTTTGTCAGCGGTAAATTAGTTTGAGTTTTTTTCTTGTAACAAAAAAAAGTTCATATTTTTTTCTGGCAAATATTAAATAGTTGAGGTTTTTTTTGGGAATTTTTATAGCAAGATCATTTTTTTTTTTCTCTTTTTTCACAAGTTAAAAGATGAAAAAAATCAGTTTTTTTGGTTTGACTCAGTTATGTCTAGTTTTCAAGCCCACTTGAAAAAACCCAAAGTGGGCAGCATTAGTCTAGTTAGCATAAAAGTGGACTTCAAATTCTGGAGAACCTATTTATCATGGGCCTTGAAAACTTCTTTCAGGCCTTTTAGTGATTCAGTGACTATTGGACTTCTCCTTTGCTTATTTTGTAGAGAAGGTTGTAGACTTTAAATTACACTTCGACAAAGGTTATTTGGTTAGTATGATATCTACTATCTAGACTGTAATTTTCATTCATCAAAGTATTTTTTTAAACTCGGAATTACATTTTCACATAAGTTTAACATATGTCATGATAATTTAGTTTACTAGGCAATGAACTGTGTCTACAAGCTATCACTTTTCTCAAACTCAAAGTTTGTATATGTGCAATGTTTTCTCTAATGTTGATGACGAATTAAATTATGTATGAACCGTTTAACTTATGTGACCACTGAGTTAGAAATTATTCAATGTTTTATGCATTGTGACCATTTTCATAAACTCTATAAAAACCTTTGTATATGTTTATTTTACAAAGATGGTATACCCAATATGTAGTTGCTTAAACCCTAAATCTTAATCAACAAGAAAACGTCAAACCCACACTTTGAATCAAACTATCAACCAATTAACGTAAAACACATGATCTCATGTTTATAAGATGTGTAAGACCAGGTTTGAAAAAGTGTTAAATATAATATTTGTCTTCGATTGATCCTTCATTGCGATATCTTTCTTATGATTTCAACTATATATGACGCACTTACAAGTTACAACGAAATTATATTTATATTGTATCGTTTTCTTATAAATTATATGCATTTGATACGACTGAATTATTTATTATTCGTCTCCACAAGTTACTGGACTATTAATTATTCATCTCCACAAGTTGCGTTGCACCACCAAATATGAAGAGAAAATAAAGCCGAACAGGTAAAAGGGACGTTTACCAAAATATCAACCTAATCTGCCCCAAACCAATTTTTTCCAATTAAGATTATTATTAAGCAGTAAGCACAATCAAATGTGTTAATTTAAAATACTCGTGACCACAAAAATATAAGGACATGACATAAGATTCGATAAAATATAACTAATTAGTTTATATTTGTATCCAGATAAAAGAATTCTTGAGAGTCGTATTATTTGACACGGCACTTTTGGTAAAAATAATGGTAATTTAACATTTATAAAATATCCTGAGTTCCCACAGCAGTGAAAGAATAATTTTTTCTGATTTTTCTTTGCAAATATCAGTTGACTATGTGGACATGCATGAATTAATATTCTATGACCACGATTACTTCTCTAATCAAATATCAGCTTGGATTGAGAAAAGGACACTATATATATATATACATTTCTTTAAAGAACTTTTTCAAATCTTATAACTCTTATAGGTGGCTACCATATTATATTGTATAAAACGTCCATTTCCATCTTAGAATTGTTAACAATATATAGGTATGAAAATTTCCATATAACCACAGTAATTTTGAGCGGAACAACAATCCCCCAATGTATTTCTCGTTCTTGTCCTATTTCATTGTTGCTTTGTTTCTCTTGCTTCGTATTTAGGTTTTTATTTTTTTCAGTTTGATTTTGTTTGTTTTTTAGTTAGTGACGAAAATATAGAGATGATAGTACTAACTTTTCTCCTAGTATTTTCATATATATCAAACGTTGTACTTGTACATCAATATCGGTGCTCTTGTTAAGCGTAGCTAAGAAGACATATAGTTTATGGTTCGACCATATGGTCCATATGGATAAGTTCAGATTAAAAATCTAAAAGTGCATCATGTGACCAAAAAAGAAAACTCTCCATATTTAAATGCAATAAGATCTTTGGATGAATTACTATGACACAAGCAATCGCGATAAAATAGGAAAAAATGTAAAATGCATGCATCGCCTGCATTGGTTGCTAAATTCCCAATTTAATTTTCAAATTCCGGAGGTGGGCTCCATTGGTTTACTTGATATGTTTTTTTTTCTTCCTTTTGTTGTCAAATGTTTACTAGATAGTAGATATGTTATGTTTCAATTATTTGTATACGTGTGGGTCGCAAACGCCGCTTGCGTGGTACACAAAATAATATCAATCATCCTAAAATTAAAAGTCAAAGTGCATAATAACGTACTCAGTATGCTTTTATCTTTGCAGATATTCCATGCATACTAAATAATATCATTTATCATTAAAACTGTTCAACAAGGAACCAAATGCAAGCCAACATATAATATTATTGTTACACTTCATATAATCATATATAGTCTCATTGCACGTTTGGCAAGATAATTGGAAATCCAGAACCAACCAACCAAAAGAATTTTGTCGAACAGAAAGAAAAACGCAGCCTGCCTATAGGTTTGAATTTGTAACTTAAAACCATACCAGTAACTTAGTTGACAAAAAAATAAATAGAAAATGTGTACAACTATTAGTCGTCGGATTTGTTTAGTTTAACTGACGGATGTATATATATTTTGCAATTTCTTTTAAATCGCTTGTTTCAGTAAGTTTAGTTATTGGTTTGTTATATTTTTTGCTTTTGATATCGCATCTAATTTATTGTTGAACTCTTTTGCGCCAATAGGAACTATATATCCAATTTGTAGCATTCAATTCGCCAGATAAAATACATAAGTTGAAGCAATGTAGTAGTTAAGCTAAGTAATTCTATTTTATTGTTGATTTTAATTTTATATAACACAAAAAGCTAACCATTAAGAAAAGAAGAAAGTGACCTGATGATCGAAAGGAACATTAGAAACGTCCTCGTTGTCCGCCCGGATAGATTTTGGAGGAAGACCTCAATTTATATATACATTAGAGGGACACCTTTAAAAAAAATTAATAAAGAGGACACCTCTAAGTTTGAATAATTATACGGTTATACACCAAATGATATTTAATTAATGCTCAATTCATCAATCAAATGTGTGTTTCCTAATACTTGGAACTTTATATTCACCACCCCGGCCCAAACTTCCCTATATAAGACACGACACCTATTCTAACTTCTAAGCATCACTAGCTCTCTCTTTCTCTCTCTCTGTACTAGCTTGTGACATCAAACATGGGAGCTCTCGATTCTCTTTCTGAGTATTTCTCTAATCATTTCTACGTCTCAATAAGAAAACGGAGGAAGCGTAAACTCATGCAGGTAATTAGAATCTCTAAACGATGCCGTTTGGTTCTTGTTTCGTCGTTTATTATAGTTTGCTTAACCTTTTCAAAATTTTGATAATGAACAGACAGTGAATATAAAGGTGAAGATCGACTGTGACGGATGCGAACGCAAAATCAAGAACGCTGTTTCCTCCATGAAAGGTTCGTTCTTCAACTCTCAAGTTCCCTGTAGTCAAACACGCCTCGCCTTTCTATTAGTTAGGGCGAAAAATTGATTGTGCTACAAGTAAATTTATCACCCACACGAAACTATGCATACCATATATATATAAAAAAAAAAATCTATACCTTAATAGTAACCATGATTATGTAATCTAACACGTCATACATAAAAAAAATACAATTCCCTTCCAAATCAGCCAAACACGACCTTACTAATATATACACCACTCGTTTTTTTTCTTTTTCTTAAAGGAGCAAAATCAGTGGAAGTGAACAGAAAGATGCACAAAGTAACGGTGAGTGGCTACGTTGATCCAAAGAAAGTGCTGAAGAGAGTGCAGAGCACTGGCAAGAAGAAAGCTGAGCTGTGGCCGTACGTTCCGTACACAATGGTGGCTTATCCGTACGCTGCTGGAGCTTACGACAAGAAAGCCCCACCGGGGTTTGTGAGGAAATCGGAGCACGCTCAGGCGCAGCCGGGAAGTACTGACGATAAGCTCATGTCCCTATTTAGCGACGAGAACCCTAACGCCTGCACCGTTATGTGAATAAAGTATAGATAGCAAGTTAGCAACCGATTGTTGTATAATTAGTAATGTATAACGTTTTATAAAGTTTATAGTGGAATCTTTTTTGTTACTGTATTAAGTCAGAAGCAAATCAACATATAGTAATTACTCTGCGTTTAACTAGTATTTTATCTCCTAATTATATAGTTTTACAGTTTTACTTGCTTATTGTATGAATAATTTAACTGTTTAAATTGTGTTTCATGCAAAAACTAAGGTTTTGCCGGAAGCATTCGAATGATATTATCCTAATATACACATCTAAATATTTTATATATTTTTGGGCGTTTAATTTGGATAAACCAAGTTCATTTGATGCGAGTTAGAAGGGGAAAACAAAAACACAAAACCAAATTTAAATTTTGTTAAATAATAATAATAATAATGGTTTCTTTTTTCCAATCTGAATCAGTAAATAGAAAAAGGATAGAAAATATAATAGGCGAAATTTTCATTCACTTAACAATCAACGATAAATTCCATTAAAAACCGGATCTCAAATTTAAACTGAAACGGTACTAATTTTGTATATATATTCTATTTGGTTTTATTTGGAATACTAATACCTTAAGCAAAAAAAGATAACCATATTTACACATAAACTGTGAAATGTTTTATTCGTTCGGTGAGAAGTCGTTCACGGTGACATTCTTCTTTAAACATTCCGTAACTAAAGGATTAGCATGGCGGTGAAGTATTAAATTATAAATTTGGTTAATTCCAAAACTATCATACTATAATTGTATCCTATTCATATCTTATCGAATAAGATAAGTAACTAAATAACTATCTTATGCCAATATTTTGTTTGTATTCACTCGATACTAGTAAAAGAGTTTTATGAAGGCAGTGGTTGGTTAATAAAAAGTTGAAAGATTCTATGACGCTAAAGAAATCCTTGGCAAGTGAAAAGCCAAACATCAAGCAATTATATGCCATCTCTGCCCTTCTGTTGTGCACCCACGACAAGTGTAAGATCCGACGGTAAACATTTTATTCGCATGGGTCCAATACTCCAATTGTATCTCTACGTAATTAATGGTATTGTTCCTCGGTGGTAGTAGATATGTCGACGATGATGTCTTTGGATAAGATAAGATATTTGTTAGTCAATACATTTATAATGGAAAGTAAATAATTCAGTGTACAATTGCTTATCTTTTTATGTGCTCATTTTTTCCAAAAATTTGGAGCAGATCACAGTTTGCCGACCACCAGTTAGGGACAAGTTTTCTTCTTAATAAATTTTATTAATTCTGTTTCTTATAATATTGCGTGGGTGGTTAAAACTTTCAATTTCGGCTAATAGATGACTTCCCTAGTTGACCGAAATAAATAGCACGTTATACATTAGAAGCATTTTAATTGTTTCGATATCAAATTTTTTTGTATAATTAATGTTTATCAGAATGCAAATAAGTGAGTATTCATTTATTTATTTTCTTGTACACTTCTTCATTTTTTTTGAATTGTGTTATTTTGCAATTTATGTCATTATTCGATTATACAATATTATAATAAAGAAATATATATATATTTTTGGTATCAACAAAAGCTTAAAGATATGTAAGAGCAATCCAATGGGAGTTTCTAAACATGATTCTTAATAAATAATAAAATATATATTATTTAAATATTAGATGAGTATCTTAAATTTGGAGAAACTTAGCTCAATTGTTTCTTAATTAAGAAACAATTGGGCAAAGTTTCTCCAAATTTAAGGTACCCACAATTAAAAAGTATTATTTATCTATACTTAGGCTCCGAATGGTAACTGCGTTTTGCGGTACGGGAGAAGTGCAGTATTACAGTGCGGTACGGTTCAACTGCGGGACGTGCGGGAGAAATATATTTGCGGAACAAGTGCGGTTTGTATAAAATAAGCGGTACAAAATAATATTTGATTGGTGAAAAAAGTTATTTGCGGGACAAGTACGGTTTTTTATATATATATATTAATAATTAATTAATTTTTTGTGTTAATAAATAAACACTAACAGATATTTATATACCATTAATACACAAATTGATCAAAATATAAATTTAATTTTTAAACATACATATTGTTGAATCTGTTGAATAACTTCATCATAAAAAAAAGTACAACACATTAAAAAAGTATTATCTATTACTTTGATTTTCCCATAACATATCTGCAATATTGTCTCTTATTTGCGTCATATATTCTCCATCTCTTATCTACGTTGCTTCTATGTCATCTAAATCATGCTCAAAATCTATGTTGTTTAGATTAATATTAAAGAACAAACATTTTAAATATATTAAACTTTAAATACTGAACTTTATTTAAATTAAATTTTAATCATATATATATAAATATATAATTATTAATTGCTAAATCAATTTAATCATTAAAACAAAATATAACATAATAAAAAACTATTATCAAATACTTTAATTTTATAAAATTTATTTGTTATTCTATTAAAATGAATTTGTTATTTTAAGATTTTAATTAAGATATATAGTTATTATAATTTAATATATAATTATTTAATATTAGTATAGTATTTTAGTGGATGTATAGTATATATGGATGTATGTATAGTATTTGATTTATAGAAAATAATAGTTAAAATGAAAAACACACTCTAACCCACATCAAAAAGAGTGTGGAATGTTTACAAGTGCGTTTTCTAAGAAAACAGAACAAACAAAAAAAAAATTCTGCACAATTTGGACAAGTGCGTTATTGCACTTTTGGTATTTCAATAATTATCTTTTTCTTGAATGGTAACATGTGTGAAAATCCATCCCGCACCCTCCAAATCCGTCCCGCATATATGCTTCCATTCACTGCCTTACATTTTGATTTTATTTAAGAAACCTTCGTTTAGAAACTTCCATCGAAGATGCACTAACCTCTAAAATATATATATATATATATGAAAATATGACAGAGGACATGTAAGTACATTGTCGGGTGATGACATGACTAATTATTAATTACGACCCCAATACAATAAATCATATCCTGAATTCTATTATGGCATTAGTAATTGTGAAATGACACTAAACTAATGGACCGATGTGGAGTGACACAGCAAACGCGTGGCGTAGAGACTTGAAGAATTGGTAATTAGGAGTCAACGTTTCGTTGATGCTGTGAGGCCCAGGGTTTTGGAGCTTCTGTTTTAGTGTCACGTGTACGGTGTTTGGGACATGAACGGCTAAATCATTCGACTTGAAACACTAATCACGGCCGGAAAGGAAACAGAGGATAAATATTGAAATGTGCAGTTTACATCAAGAGTGAAATACGATAATGTAATGTTGGCTATGTATGTAACATATCATGTGAGCAATACGAATTTTGGTAACTAGATTTTTCGTGAAAGGAACATGTATTTGGACTCTTGGAGGTGCTGGCAACTCTCAAATCTAAAGTGAATCTATCACATATATATATATTTTGATGTGTCTAGTTAATATGCTATCGAGTCCTTGTATATATTTATTGTAGACAAATGCACTGATTATTAATCAAGGTGGTGTGGTTCATTGGTTTTAGAAAATTTTCTCTGTGTGAATCAAGGGGAAAAGTCCTACTATATAACTACGACCATTATTGTTGTTTTCTTTTGACCAGTATACTCATTTTAACTGACTAGAGTAGACTGCATGAGATTTCATAGAGTGGGATTAGTATGAGTTTTTAACTCATGATCTAGGTTAAAAAAAGAAATACTACAAAACATATTTAAAACTACAGAATATAGTGTAATCACGTAATATTTAATCATATGTATGGTTTGTAAACTCACATTAGATCAAGTTGAAAATCCATCGAGGGTTTTCGATTCTTATGTCCTAATAGTGGCCAGTGGGGGATCAATGGACCAGATTAATGGGCTAAATACTTCATGCGCATTTTTTTGTTTATGGCCCATAATGGATTTATTTAAAAAAACTTAAAAGGCCGAAATGCAAAACAACACTAGCAGCACTACCCTAACAAGGTCAATCAGAATGTGCTCACTGCTCAGGGCCTCAAGTGCTCATATATCAAGAGGTCGAAAAATAGGATAGTGAAATCTTTTTTAAAAAATATGTATGTCACCTCATTTTATTTCTCTTAAATAAATTACTGAATCTAAAAACAAAAGAAGAAAAAGTTGGGGGAAAGAGAGGGGAGAAGCTCGAGAAGAGTGTGGGAGAAGGCAAACCCCAAACACTGACTAGACACAGACCGTTGGGCCCGACTCTTCATGCATGCACTCTTCTGACAACATTTTCAATTTCTCTAAATCTATATTAAAAAAAAAATTATTTTTTGTTTCATTAATATCATAGTTTATGAATAATACTACAGTACTATTCTTATTACTACTATGTAAATATGCCTTAAATAATGATAACGTACAATTCAAAATGCTTCTGTTCGAATGCAAAATAAACTCCAAAATTCAGAATTTAATGAGGAAGTGGCCAGGTCGCTGTTACTTTTAAGTGTCAGTCTTCACTCACTCACTCAACATCGTTTCAAATTTCAGAGCAAAAGTCTCTTAACCCAAAGCCCTCCACTCAATTGCCTACTTAAAAAACCGAGCTTCTTCTTTTCAAGCTTGCAAAGTTATCTTAAAAACGCTTTTACTCATTTCTCTTCTTCTTTCTTCTGAAGCCATGACTAAAGATGAAGACTTTAAGCTCCTAAAGATCCTGGTAGTTTAAAGACTTTCTCCACTTTTTATCTTTCTCATTTTTTTTGTAATAACCTCTCAGTTGTGTTAATGGTTATGTCTATTGCAAAACACAGACGTTTTCCCTCAGGGTCAACATCCATTGCGAGGGCTGTAACAAGAAAGTCAAGAAACTTCTTCAGAGGATCGAAGGTTTCTATATTTCACACATGCAACACATTTTTTTGCTTACTCATTTGGATTCTTGATTTGGTACATTGTCATGTTTTGACCAAAACAGGAGTTTGCCACGTGAAGATAGAAGCAGAGCATCAAAAGGTGACTGTTACAGGGTCAGTTGACTCAGCCACACTCATCAACAAGCTCGTTAAAGCCGGCAAACACGCCGAGCTTTGGTCTCCTAACCCAAACCAAAACCAACCTCAAAAGCCCAAGACTAATGACGTCATCAAGAACGTTAATCAAAAGGGTCAGAAGCAAGGCTCGGCCAAAAGTGGTATTGAAGCCTGCAAGCCCAAGAACGGCCCTAAAGGTGCAGCCTTTGTCACGGACGTGGAAGGAGACGGCGGCGAGGAAGAAGACGGAGAGGTCCAGTTTCCTAAACCGGCGAATCAGCAGCAACAGACCGTCGTCAACTCCAAGAAAAACAATGGAGGAGTTTCGATGAACAATGGAAACAACGGAGTCAACGCCGCAACAAAGAAAGTCAACCAAAAACAGAGCAACCAAATCCAGAACACTCAACAAGTAATGGCGGCTATGAGAATGAGAACCGCCGGAAAAATGACCTCTGGTGTTGAAACCAACGAGATTGGAGCTCTCATGGGTTTAGCTGGCTTTAACGGCGCAACAAATGCCGTGAATCACCCTCCAAATGGGATTCAACAACAGCTTCAAGCTCCACCGTTAAACAACGTCACTAATCACAACCTCACCAATGGTAATGGAGGCTTGATGATGAACATGAATGGATACAACAATCATCATCCAATGAACATGCAGAGTAGGCAAATGATGCATCAGCCTCAGCAAATGATGTATCAAAGATCATCCTTCGTTCCAGCATCAAGCAATGGGTATTATTACAATTATACCCCTAATCCCTACAGTTATTATCCATATTACCCTTACCCAAGTGAGCAGCAACAGCAACAAAGTAGCCATTCATATGCAACAAACATGTCTAGTGATGAAGACAGTACTAGCAATAACAATAGCTGCAACATCATGTAAAGTGTGATTGCTTGCTAAGGAAGATATCTATCTTTCTCCTACTAGAAACAAGACTTAGAAGTTCAATCTTTTTTCTGTATTTTTTGTCTAATGTGATATATTAGTGTATGGTTTTCCTTCTTTTCGACTGGGTGTTTCTTCTTGTGTGGCATGTAGCTTTTTTGGACTGACATGAAGTTGTGTTGGTTGATATATAAAATCCACAGTGTTATTACTGATGTTTCTTGTGAGATGCTTTGCTTTATCTTGGTTCTTTTTTACTAAAGTGTAGTGTTGATATTCATGAAATGCGGTTGGTGCGGTGCAAACATTTGTAAAAGGAGCGTTTAAAGCGGTTGGTTTTGTCACAATGTGGTTTGTGTGTATCTCTCGAAAAGTTATTCTCTCTATCCACTCAAAAAGTTATTCCACCTGCTCGCTGCCTCTCGGTAGGTGTCTCGTTTTACGCGTCACTTATTTTTATTTAATGCGATATGGTTCGAGTTTTAAAAATTGGACTAGTAAAAGTAATATAATGTCTAAGCCCGGTCCGGTCATGCATCAATCAATCCTTTGTTTTTAATTCGATAAATTTACATGATACGCCGATGGGAATTGGTATTTGCTTGTGAAAAAAAAAAAAAAAAAAAAAAAAAAAAATTGGTATTTGCTTATCAGATTCGAACCATCTTTTGGGCCTCATGAGTTTCAAAAAATGGTTTTGGGCTAAAGTAGCCCAATTTGATTTTTCACAGAAAAGGTCCTACTTTAAATTCTTGATAGCCACACAAGATTCCCCAACCAGGTGACAAAAGCATGCAAACGAAAAAAGCAAAACGTTTGTCAGTTTTTTTTTTTTTTTTTTTTTTTTTTTTTTTTGATAACCCAGTATCCAGACCACACAGTGATCTGACTAGCCCACTGGGCCTAAGCCCACGTCACATGGATTTTTAAGCCTCCACTTAAGGGCCCCATGATAAACTGGTGGTCTGGGGCGCCTGAGCAAGTCCGCATGTAAATTCCCAGGTGGCCACAGGAGTGAGAGAGCGAAACTGCGTCTGGGGAGGATCGATCCCTGGCCTAAACCAACAGGGCGATCCTTCCAACCAAACGAGAACCACTCGCCCACCACCATGTGGTTTCAGTTTTATTTTTTGACGGATTGAGAAGAGTTTTTGTCATTTTAAACGCTTTTAAAATCGTACCCTAAATTTGAGGTTTAGTTATGATTTCGAACCACAATCGTTTGTCCAAATATGAAATATCTACATACGAAATATTCTTATCTATCAATTATGATTTAATTGTACAACTGTAACATACATTTTACAATCAATATATGAAACTGTGTACCACAAATTAATAACAATGCAGGACACGAAAATTATAATTAACTAGAGAACATTTGGTACAATAGCTCTATTTAATGTTTGGTCTGTTTGCATATTATACTATTGACTATTGTTTTATATATTAATAATGTGGCTTGTGCATAATAATGGATTACAAATGGACACTTAGACGTAAGAAGCATCGAGGTTAGGATAGTGGACCCTTCTCTTTAAATTCTTTTCACACTTGAGTTCCTACTTTTTGCGACACGAGCCGTGAGATGTTTGCCTTTGTTTTCTCTATTAGCGAATTTTATCTTATGGATAATGGTTACAAAATTATCGAGAGACTTCTTGCTTGTGTGTTAGTTTCTGATAAAAAGTGGTCATAAAACAATAGATTATATGTTCTCGAATTTACATTTATTTTCCGGTCTCTGAAGGTAATTAAGTCCTTTGGTAACACGTCTAGGATAGTAGAGCTTTCGTATCACACTAATCAAGAACATTAGTGTGATATTGTATTATTAATCAACATTTAAAAAGAAAAATTCAAAATAAAAAATTAGAAGAAAATCTAAAAATATTAATTTTGAACTTTCCTTTTGAAACACCTTAAATTTATCTTCATCATATCATTAGATAAACTTCAAAGAGAGAAAAAAAAATAAAATTAGAAGAAAATCTAAAAAAATTAATCTTATTCAACTTTCCTTTAAAAAGCACTAATTTTATCTTGTGTGTTTTTGAACAAGAAAGTTGAAGAAAACTATTGTTTTTAGATTTTTTGCAAATTTCTTTTATTTTGAATTTTAAAAATAAATTAATTGTAATAAAGACAAAATATTAATAAAAATAAATTAATTCAAATAAAATTAATAATTAATGCCATGTCATTTAAATATCAATAATTAATTGAGATGATAAAGGTAAAATTAGAATTTCATTTTTATTACTAGATCATGAGTATGAAAATAAAAAAAAAAACTTTATTTTTAGATATTAAATCGCATTCTTTAATTAGAATGTGCATTTTTTTTCCAAACTAAAATTTTTGGATATTAAACATTCAAATAAAAAATAAATAGAGTTTTTTGGGTGATATTTTCCTTTGTATTTTTTTTCTAGTTTATGTTTACTTTCTCTGCTTTTCTAGGGATGTCACCGTCTTTAATTTGTAATTTAATATACGTCGCTTACTAGCTTTTTCACCTGTGAAGCCCACACGAACATATGATCCATATGACTATATATATATATATATATATATATATATATATATATATATTTTTTGCAATGAGATTCTGATATAAGACTCGGAACTGATTGCTAACCGACAACCAAATTAAGGAGTTTAAAAAATCTATTCTCGATCAAAGACCTATAGTTATAAGTACTAATCAACCTACCTAACCTACCTACGCACCTACCTCGAAGACCATGCTAAAATGAAAAGGATGAATCATTCGAGTTAGGCTCTCATTTCAGTCATTTGTCATTAAACGTTGCACATTATATGCAACTTTCATTAAATGCAGACGATAATTCCGGTACTTAAGACTAAAGAGTGTGACAAGAAAAAATGAAAAAAAAGAGTTAAGAGTGAAAACTCACAAAATAGTATAAAGACAAACAAAAGACCCCAAAACAAAACACTTTGAAAAGAAAGGCCACTGAATAATAAAAAAGGAAAATGCCATCTGCACATCATGCAACCATTAAAAGAAAAAATGTTATACAAAATTAGATTAATGATAGAATAAAATTGTAACGATCCTATAACAAAGACTCATGGGTGTGGAGCAGAGTCCACCACGTTCTCTCACACACACACACTCCTATATATAAGTATCTAATCTAATGATCAAGAACTTAATCTCTCTCACCCGAAGTTAATAATTCAGTCAGAAACACACACTCAAAATTAACTTGACTTGTCAGAAATGGAATCTCTGTTGTGTCGGAGGAGGATAAAGAGAGTCATGGTGCTAATAATAACGTTGACATGGCTCGGTAGCACGTGCGGGGAGCTCGAGGACCAACTATTCGAAGTGGGAAAGCTTAAGATGTTCGTCGACGACCTCCCAGATATGCCCAGACTCTATGGTTTTAACTCTGTTCATGATATCATCAAACCCACTTCTCTTCAAATTGGCATGTTCTCCACTAAATGGGTATTGTTCTTTTCCTCATTCAATTTCTTTTTCCAGAAGATTCTTATGGGTTGGTGAGAATAATCTTATATTTCACTTGTTTACGTCTAGTCGTTGGAAAAAATGATAAGATTTGACGCGTTTACTCTTGACCTAAGATAAAGTGCTCTTGGTGACAGAAAAAAAAAAACGTAATGGGCTTTGGCTCATATTCTCTTAGGCCCAATCACAATTGTTTTTTCTAAATAGTAAACTAGAACACTTGTAGCGATTAATTACTGGATAAACAGAGTATAGTTGTGGCGTGACAATAAATTTAGTGTAACAGAAATTCCACAGAGATTTGCCTGCGACTCCTGTGTTTGCATACGGTACATCACGGAGCAAGGCAACGGTTCCTGGTCCGACGATCGAAGCTGTTTATGGAGTAGACACATACGTTACATGGCGAAATCACCTTCCTTCATCTCACATCCTTCCTTGGGACCGTACAATTTCCCCTGCAACTCCAAAACACGGTGGAATTCCTACGGTTGTTCACTTACATGGCGGAATCCACGAACCAACAAGTGATGGAAATGCCGACGCGTGGTTCACTGCCGGTTTTAGAGAGACAGGACCAAAATGGACCAAAACGACGTTGCATTATGAGAACAAGCAACAACCTGGTAACATGTGGTACCATGACCATGCCATGGGTTTGACCCGAGTCAACCTCCTCGCTGGTTTGGTAGGCGCCTATATTCTTCGCCACCACGCCGTAGAATCTCCGTTGCAGCTACCCACTGGCGATGAATTCGACCGACCGTTGATCATTTTTGATCGAAGCTTTCGTAAAGACGGGTCAATTTACATGAACGCCACTGGGAACAACCCATCGATTCACCCGCAATGGCAACCGGAATACTTTGGCGATGTGATAATCGTTAATGGAAAAGCATGGCCACGATTAAACGTGCGACGTAGGAAATACAGATTCCGTATCATAAACGCAAGCAACGCTAGATTTTTCAAATTCTTCTTCTCCAACGGTCTAAATTTCATCGTTGTGGGTTCCGATTCGGCCTATTTGTCAAAACCGGTGATGACCAAATCGATTCTCTTATCTCCGTCAGAACTTGTAGATGTCATCGTTGATTTCTCGAAATCACCATCGAGAACCGTGGTACTCGCTAACGACGCGCCGTATCCTTATCCTAGTGGTGATCCGGTCAATGAAGAAAATGGCAAGGTAATGAAATTTATCATCAACAATGAACGAGAGGATGACACATGTACAATTCCCAAGAAGCTCATCAATTATCCGCATGCTGACATGTCAAACGCTGTACTCAGGCGTTACATCTCTATGTACGAGTACGTGAGCAACTCTGATGAACCAACTCATTTGCTTGTCAACGGCTTACCCTATGATGCTCCCGTCACAGAAACTCCAAAATCAGGAACCACCGAGGTACGCTAGCTGTTTATTGACGGTCTAATCTAAAACTGATCACTCAAAATTTAATAATAACTATAAAATTACTCAGGTGTGGGAAGTGATAAATTTGACGGAGGATAACCATCCGTTACACATTCATCTAGGATTGTTCAAAGTGGTAGAGCAAACGGCATTACTGGCGGCGGGATTGGAGGAGTTCAAGGAGTGTATGACGAAACAAAACGACGCGGTCAAATGCCAAATCAGCAAATACGCTCTTGGGAAAAAGACGGCGGTGACGGCACTCGAGAGGGGTTGGAAGAACGTATTCAAGATG